CCTCATATGGCACATGAAAACTTGGCTGAAAAGCATGTTTTTGGGTTCAATATGTAAGATGAACATAATACCTACATTTTTAAACTTCTGAAGAGGACTATACTTTTCTGCAGGTTTTGTTCCGAAACTTGGCCAATATTTACATTTTTTAAGCTGGCATGAAACATGAACTGAATGATCCCATCCTGGGAAAACCAAGGATTTAGCTGCACAAAAGTTCAGTGTCAATCAAGTACTAATTGTGGATTATTTGCTACTCAACAGATCCGGAGCTCATTGACAAATATTTTATATCGTAAGATGCGTTCCCTTTACTCAGAGTGCACGTGATCGCGAAATCGAAAGTGAAAGTGAACAGTGCAAGCGCTCATTCAAAAGAGATTTAAATACTCCCCATTGATAGCGGCTCCCTGATTCGCGAAAATTATGTGCAATATTAGAATGTTTGTGGGAGAAACCTTGCAGGAGAGGAACGCACACGCGAGTTTGTAACACTCCAAAGAGAAAGGAAAAATTGAAATCGCATCATATGACCCCTTTAACTGAAATACAATAACTCTAATTGAAATATTAAAAAAAAAGAAGAAAAAAAAAAGTTTAAAACAAATTGACTAGTCAGTTGTTGGATGACCAGTCATCCATTCAGACTCATGCATACCAAAAAAAAAAAAATAACTCTAATTTTATGACTATCATTGAAAACACAGTATTTAAAAGGCACAAATATTTTGTACAAAAAAAAGAAAACATAAAACAGAGATTTGCACAAAGCATCATTTTTTAGTTCACTGAAATTAACAATCCAAACAAACTGATTTACTTCAACAAATAGGAAACTGATTTACTACACTTCATATGAGAGATAGAGAGTTTAGACAAGTGTGTTTGATTACTTGCCATAATTTGTTTGCCTGCAGTGTGCAATATAATGTGACATAAAAACCTGATTTGTGGCGTTTGTGACGCCAACAAAAATTCCCAACCTAGTAACCCAGGAATTTATTTTTTTTGCCATTTTCAGATCGAGTTCTAAACTGAAAATAAACTCTCAAATGCTCGCTAGCACTTCACAACTTTCCTCACCATAAGCCTGGGCACAAACTCCAAATGGGAACGCTCTTGAAAATGTCAGGGAAAATATACACATCACATACTCACAAATTGTTACACGAGCGTGACCACACACACACCAAAAGGACGGCCAAAGCCACACGCTCACACAGACAAACACACACGGGGGGAAAAACTGTCAGCCACAGTCTCGACAAAACCTCAGAGTTCCCACCAAACCGTGGTCTCCACTAGACACAACACTCCACAAGTCGGTTGAGCTCAAACCTCGGTTAGCAACCTGCTTGGCACAAAGATCCAGCGTGCATGGCATTAGAAACACGGGCACCTGAGTTCTGAAATGCAGATTAAAGAAAGGTGTGCCGTTAGATGACAAAGCGCCACCTGAACCTTACACCACCTGTGTACTATAAAGAAACAAAGAAGTCACATGTGATGAGCACGCCGTTACAAACTGCACTGCTCATCATAAGATCAACCATGAATCTCAAGAAAACTAGCTTGAATCCGACAGAAAGGTATTGATCTGAGATTACACACAGGAAAACAAATGAGACTGACTCAAGAAAGATTAAAAGAGAAGATATTTCAAGCCCTTTTGAACTGAGATGAGCCATTATATTTAGGTCACGGTGATTGAATCCATCTTTAGATGCTGGAAAATGCCTTGCACAAACCCAACAGGATGTCCTATGACAACAGGCGCTCATCACAAGCTTTCCTACTATATATTACTGTCTATATTTTAAGCAGAAAATTTAGGACAGAGGTTTCTATTTGAACTAGCTTTAGCTCTGGCAGAAGTCATCCTTATTCAAAGCAAAAATGATAACTCGTGTCTATTTAATGGGGGAAAAAAAGTTTACAGATGTGACGAGGAAGCTTTAAAAGTATCTGGCAGCTGATATCTAAGCTTCACTTCTGCTATAGGATAATTCTCTAAATATTCTGAAAGGAAGCTCAATATTTAAGAAGAAAGTAAATGTGTCACTATAGGTCAAATCGTAGTATACGAGTCTCACTGTGTGACTGGGTTAGATGTTTGTCTATACGGTGTTTCCAGGAAAAAACACAGGCCAGGAAACAATCTGCCGAGCCACATAAAACACACCAACCAATCGCATACACACTTCCTGAGCGACTCTAGACAGGTTCAGTCATACAAGTAAGCAAGCCTGATTACATGTTAACTCAAAAAAGCAAGATCCGTTGTCTAAAAAGAATCCAAACATTTAAAACAGAGAAACAAAAGGTTCCTCCATACTAGATGGTTTGTTATGGAGAAGCTGCATTTACAAACTGAAGGGTTCGGGGTGAATTTAGTATTAACACTCATCTTACTGACTACTGCTTACAGAGAGGGGAAAAGAGCAAAAAAAAAACTATAATATGCAACAACATCCAAATAGTAAAAAGAAACACCCATGGCACATTCTTGCCAATGGAACAGTGAATCATACCTTGCAGCGAATGATAAATTAAACACCAACACCTACGCTCAGCCCAACCAGACCCTCCTTTGAAAAATAATGGCACCCACAGCCACCCTCCCAAAGCGCTGGCTAATTGCCCATGTGGGTCCCTTAAACTTCATACGCTGGAAGAGACAACAGAGAGCCCGGTTCCAGATGTGAGACCCACATGTGGCAAACTGTTGATATAATGAATAACGCAATTGGAAAAAGGCACCAAAAATAGGCCACTTATTGGCCCACAAGGCAGACAGACAGATATCGCGCTTAGCTGGGCGAGAGTTGACGGCCAAACAAGAGTGCCAAAGTGCAAACGACTGATGCAACGGTGTATCTTTTTGCATAAACCCTAGTGAGAAGCACACTGGAACTTCCAACAGCAAATAAAATAACAAAATAAATCTGTGATCTAAGCCAAATTCTGCGACAAAACTTACTAGAATAACAGTAGAAAAAAAACTCACATGTGATCAAAGCAGCACGGCAGTGACTTCATCCCAACACAATACTATTAACCGGCAGGTAAAATAGCTGGTTTAGGTGACTCTTTAATAAAGAGTAGCTATTCAAAAGAAAGAGACTGATTTCATCGCTCCAACACAAAGCCTAGGTGACCTGGGCGGGGAACACCTCGCCTAAAAGGAACAATTTGATATGGCACAAAGATTAACCATACAGCTAATTTCCGCTTGTAGAAACTCTTTTCACCTTCTGTTTGTTTTCCTGTCCAATCTTAAAATAAAGGGTTGGGTGATGGATAAAATCAACTCCAGCATATAGCCTACCTGACCTACATGTTGGGTATTTTTACCCACAATGCACTTCAAATGCAGGAAATCTTAATGAAATGCCCTGGATCAATGAAAACGACTAAGATCAGACACTTTGTGAGTTCTGCTACCTTTAAAACCCCACTCTGTTTGGAGTTGACATGAGCTAGTAAGCGTGCGCAGAACCCCACCTCTGCACGCCTACGCGAAAACGCACACTTGCGTCCCAGACACGACGCACAACATGGAAAACTTCTACCATACCATAAGAAGGCTTACTTTATACTGCAGACCAAATGAGGGGGAGTACGAATGGAAGAATTAGCTAATGGTTTAATGCATAAGACCACGACTTCAGCGTTGGTGGAGCTCAGACACCCAACAGAGACTGAACTGCCATGAACTGGCAGCATTTTTCCACACAACCAGATGAATATTCACCAGGTTATTATGAACCAAGCGGTCGTAAGGCACAGATTACAATGCAAGGCTACTTTAAGATAACATACACAAGGGGGACATGACAACTACTCAGATGAGTTGGTATAAAAACTGCCATCAACTCACTTTCTTTATCTAGACTAGTAGTAACATGAACTGAACTCAAGGTAACTGTTCATATCTTTGACACGTTGGTGTTTATATTACAATTACATACTGCAAAACTAAAACTAAAAATCTTATTAAGTGCCTGCCCATTTAAGGGTTGCAGAAAAGTGGTTTTAGCTCAACAAACAACCAGATCAAGCAAGTAAAAGTGATTGACAGCTTATCCAAAATGAGCCTCCATACAAAGTAAACAAAGAAAAGCAGGACTTACTTAACGACCTGGAGCCCAGTGAAACATTCATATGACATTCAACTTTACATTTTTAGACACAAGACCCCATAAATGAACTAAACACAACCGTAAACACAAACAAAGCATAAATGTGAAATATATTATTGTGTAAGATCCTCCAGCTCACACAGAGAGGCGCTGTGATGGGATGCCACTTTCTCAGGGCCAAATGGCTGAAAGTTGCTCGCAAATGGTGGATGCCATCCTGGATCAACACAAGCGGTTATAAAGCCATTTTAAACACCTTTACATTTCTCATAAAGTTTAATGCACCTGGAAGCGTAATAAACGCGTTTAGCATGTGAATCGTGTCTAAAACAGTCGTGACTGTCTAAGTCGGGACGGTTCAAAAGTTGTGAAAATTTGTGTGCTCTAAAATATCGATTTGAATCCCTTTAAGCAAACCTTTTCATGTCAACGAACAAGGCAGAATGACAGCTACACAAAAATACCCGTAAATGTCATACAATATGGAGTGATCAGTACAGCCTAACGTACACAAAAACAGACGAAAGACACAAAACTCAGTAAAACTAACTTTGCCAACTAGCTTCTAACTTCACAATACTTTCAAAACAACACTGTATCACATATCGTGATGTTTAATACTAATCGGACTTACGTCTGTGTGCAAAAAAAGTCGCTTAAAATACGAATATTATAAACACATCATCACCTAATCCGAGCGGAATTAGCGGGCTGCATATCCACAGAGAAACTCCTCTAAAACGACAAATACCTCAAAACTCTCTAAAAAATACGCTTCTGGCACCTTGATTTTCTTATAACAGTAATCTAAAGTTGGATTATACCGATCTGTTGTTGTTGTTGTGTGGGAAAACTTACCCGTATCGCCCGGGGTCTTCATGTTGGAGAGTATAGCCGCTTCGTTAGCAGTCGTGCTAACTGAGAAAGAGAGTGAGTTAGAAAGAGAGAGAGATACAGATGAACTGAACTTCTTCCTCTTGGTGAGCTCAGGATCGCACTCAAAAAAACTTTTCCTCCTCAAATCCAGCCCCTTCACTCGTCCTCCCCCGGTCTGTTTGGAGTTTTCGTGTTTTGTTTTTCCTCCCCAACGTGGAGGACGCTCGTTGTTGCCTTGTGGCCGGACAGACTCGCTCTTTTACGGTCAGATATCGGAGCGCGTCGTGCCGATGGAGGAGCACCGTGTCCGCGCTGAACTCCTGATTACTTTATATACGCTGCGAAGTTGCATATTCAAGGCTTCTCGCTGAAACACGAGGCGAAGCCGACAAAATCAAAACAACCGAGGAGGCACAAATGCCCGATCCACTTTTCTCCCTCTCTTTCCACGGACTTTTTCTTTTTCCACTCAGTCCGTGCAACTCTCTCTCCCGTCTGCCCCCTCCTCCTCCTTCCTCTATCGGGGTGTCGTGTTTCGTTCTTCCAGCCACACGGGGCCGCCCACGCTAAGCGGGGGAGGGAGGGGCGGAGGGCGCACGTAGCCACGCCCCACTCTCCATTTGTGCCGGGGCTGGCGTCACTGCGGCGTTGCTGCGGAGACCGCCAACGCCGTCCGATCTTGGCCAACATAGCGAGGTGCCGATGACATGTTGTCCCACAGAAACAGACCGAAAACCAATGAAATCTGTCGTCAGTGGTGGTCTCACTTTCCTCAAAGTTGACACTGCTAAAAACGAGATTTGTATTAAGTCTTGTTGTGTTACTTAGTGAATAATGGCTCACACAGAGACTGAAAATCTGTTTTTATTTACACATCCTCGCGTTGTTCCAAATCCAAATAAATGTCTTTTTTTTCTTCAGTGGAACTCTGAAGAATATCAGTACTGCTCTTTTCTTACAATAAACATGAATGGAAGATAGTCAAGATAGTCCATGCGACTTGTGCATACTTGGTACTTTGATATTAATTTAGGCATTTTTTTGAGCTTGACAACTTATATTTTGTGGGAAAGTGCAAGTCTGAGGTTATTCCGCCAATGAAAAAGTCATGTGTTTTTTTTTAAATGGTTCCTTCGCCCCTGCTAATGTGACTCAAAGTTTGAGGATGAACATGCTTTTAAAAAGTAACAGGAAACATTTACATTTAGTCATTTAGCAGACACTTTTATCCAAAGCAACTTACAAACGAGGACAATAGAAGCAATCAAAACCAACAAAAGGGCAATAATATGAAAGTGCTTTGACAAGTCTCGGTTAGCCTAACGCAGTACACGTAGCAAGGTATTTTTTATTTTATTTTTATAATAAATAAAAAGAAAACAAGTAGATAGAATAGAAAAAGAATAGGGAACAGTAGTGTTAAGAGTCTTTTGAAAAATAAAAATAAAACAGGTGAAAAGAATAGAAAGAATAGAGAATGCTAGAGTTAAAGGGGTCATGTGATGTTGCTAAAAAGAACATTATTTTGTGTATTTGGTGTAATGAAATGTGTTTATGCGGTTTAAGGTTAAAAAAACACAGTATTTTCCACATACTGTACATTATTGTTTCTCCTCTATGCCCCGCCTTTCTGAAACGC